AGGCAGACTGACAAAGTACACTGCTGAGGGGAGCAGCGGGCGGGTCAGGAGAGGTCTGCCACGCCATGTGGATCACATCCGGGGCAGAGATTGAAGTTGCACTGAAGTGACAGCTTGCAGTGCTGCATCCTAACCCACTGCACCATCAGGGAGAACCCAACTTTTTAAATCTTGAAAAAAAATCTCTTGCTAACCACAATCACAATAAACATCAGAAAGCTATGTAAACTTTTTTCTTTTTGTTTCTTTAACGCAAAAAAAACTGAAAAAGTAAACACAGGTAAATTTGTATTACATAAATCATTTGATCAAGACACATCTGAACAGACTATCAGAAATGGAAAGAGCACTAAATTGAGTTTGGTGAGAGGACACAGAAAGAGGATATATTTTCCAGGCCTCCTTTTTTTCTACCATGAAATAAAGCTATTCACTTAAATTCTGCCTTTCCATTGATAAAACTAGAAGACTAATTTTCTGCTGGGGCCCATCAATCAATTTCAATCAAAAGATCACTAAGGGTTACATCCATGGTTAACCTGAGTTTCTAAGGCAATGATACCAGTTCTTTAAAAGACAAAAAGACTAACACATTTCTTAACTGTCAACTGTTATCATATAACTAAAGTGTCATTAACTTCTCTATTCATCCTTAAAATAGTCTTACATTTCAGCAATTACAAATCAATCCTTCACTGGACAGCTGTAGTTTAAAAAACACACATTAGAATAATAGTGGATTAGGTATGTTATATTAACACAAATTTTAACTGACCAGTCTAATTTCCTTAGACACAGCCCAATTTCTTTTAGGATGTGAGCCTATACTATTTTTACAGGTTCATTAAACTAATCGGTATTATATAAAACTAGTACTTACAGGATCCAAATTTAAGACTTCATAAGGATTGTATTCTTGATATTCTCGGTCAGTTTTGGAAACTTTGTATACAAGGAATAAGAATAATGCCCATCCTGCAAGCAGAGCTACTTTCCTGTTTAGAAAAAAGATAAGTATAAGTAAATACATTCACATGACTTTCCTTTTAGAGTTGAAAGACAAGAGAAAGGCACAAAATAATCTAAGATAGACCCATATCACCATACTGTTGACTTAATTTCTACAATCACTAGCCTTCATCAATAAGGACAGCAACTTTTAACCTTTAAATTCTCTAGAACCTTGAATATAGTACTTTGTATATAGTATTCTGTATATATATATAGTTATTATATATTATATATATAGTTATATATTATAGTACATAGTTATTATTTGAAGAATTTTAAGTATGGAAATCACTCAACTTACTAACTTGTTAAACCTATTACATTAGATCTAAATATATTAATATCAAGTATTCAGTAAACCATTCAATATAAAAAAGAAATGCTCTAGCTTTTGCAGTTATACTTTTAGTAGAAAACCACAAAAAAGAATCTGTCAATTGTACAAAGATGAACAGCCTTGTTTATAATAGTAAAATTTTGGAAACAACTGAATGCCCATTTATAGGAAACTAGTTAAATCTTTTATAGCAGACTGACTAAATCAGAAGACAATCACATAATGGAACCTTTTTCGTCAATACAGATAAAGAGGTGCATAATAGATTAAACAACATAAAAAATATAATTTGGAAAAAAAACAAATTTCTTCTCTCTCCAATATTTTGGTTAGCAAAAATACTGAAAAGATTGAGATTACATTGTTGGAGAGGGTAAAGAAAAAAAGGAATTCTCACACACTCTCCACTTTGAAAGAATATCTGGCAATAAAGTGTCAAAAGGCCTAATGTAGTACATACCCTTTTACTCTATCAACTGACTTCACTTTAAAACATTTAGAAGGAATAAAATTACGTACATAAAGTGTAAAAGGGTGGTTACCGATGTAGATAATAGCCTTCCCCTCCACCACCACCACCAAAAGAAAATCAATAGAGTAGTGGATAAATGGTACTTCCTCTAGTGAAATACTTTCTAACCATAAAAATAATATTTGCTGAGAAAGATTATAAACCTTACATTTTTTAATTTTAAAAAGAAAAACAGCTTTTAAAAGTTCTAGAATATAATCCTAATTTGTAAATAAAAAGTACACTGTAGGGCCCTCCCTGGTGGTGCAGCGGGTTAAAGCACTGCACTGAGAATCTAAAGCCACTTCCACATGAGTTCGATTCCCGCCTGCCCAGGAGGTGACCACATGGCGTGGCAGACCTCTCCTGACCCGCCCGCTGCTCCCCTCAGCAGTGTACTTCGTCAATCTGCCTGTTCTGCTCCCCACTCTGTCCCTGGTGAATCCTCTCACCCTCCGCATCTCTGGTCTGTACCCCAGTTCTGTACAAATAAATAAATCTTTTAAAAAAAAAAGTACACTGTAAATAAAAACACAGAAAATAAATCTTCTTAGTAGTATCCTTTAAGTGATGAAATTAAATTTTTTTATATTCTTTGTATAATAACTTGTTCACAGGAGCACTTATTAAACAGATAAAGTTAATCAGAGGCCTAATCAAATAAAATTGGGAGTTGTATGTTTTCAAAAATAGAAAGAAAACACCCATCTTTTTAAAGCTCCCTTGGCAAGAACCTAGCTTAAACATGTTTCCTTGAAATAAGACTTTAGGATCTGGCTCCAAGTTATTTGCTTACTTCTATCACCCTGATTTTTTCAAAAGAATACCCTAAGCTTTTCCCACCATCACCCTTTTTGGTCCCTTGGATCTTTCTTCCTGGAATTTCTATTCCCCATTTCTGCCCATCTAAACTCTCTTCATCTTTCAAGATTCACCTCAAATTATCCATCCTCAAAGCAGCAGTCCGTAGCCCTTCCCAAGATGACCACTGTGAAGACTGGTTACAGACACAGAAGCACAAGCCATGTGCCTGAGCAGCTGGCGCAGGCTTCTTGAGCACAGGGACAGGCTCATATTCCTTTTAATTAACTCAGGAGTAGTTTTAAAGTACTCTGGTGAAAATTTCAATCCATCTGGTCAAAATAAAACTACATCTTATCAATGGCATAATGCTTCAAAACTGTTTTCCATACCACCTACATGCCTACTTAAACCCAAAGATGTAAACAAGCACTATCTGGAACCTCCCACTTTCACGTGGCTATGCAGGGAAATACCATTAAAAACACAGACTCTGGAATAAAACTCCTGAACGCAAATCCCAGTTTTGCCACTATTAACTGAGTGATCTTGCCAAGTTGTTTATTATTACTAGCTTTTCACCTAGGATGTTGCTTACTAAGGGAATCTCTATCCTTGTGTTAGGAGCCAGTTATTTAAAAGCCTTTCTTCTTAAATAAACTGTACATCAGCGCAGTAGTAAAGAACCAGTCCTCTCCTACACAGCTCTAACTAAGCTCTCTCATCACTTTTTTTTCTTGCCAGTATCCCCTAAAAGTCTAAATTGTTGAATCATGTCTATGTGTTAATCACAGTATAGCAGCACCTACCTAGTAAATGACATATACACAATAGATACGAAATAGCTACTTTGCTGACTGAATAATAAAACTAATTTGAGAGTATTTAAATGAAAATCCACACTTGTAAATACCCTCAATATGCTACCAAACACTTGAAAATAAACTTTATTCCCTTGAATTATTAAGTTCACATTTTATTTAGCTCCCTAAAGCTACCAAAGTTCAGAAAATAAACATAAAAGTGAAATTGAAAACTACTAAGTGGGGCCTCCCTGGTGACCTACATATTAAGTCTCCGCACTATCACCAACAGGGCCTGGGGTCGACCCCAGGCCAGGGAGCTGACCCACATATGGCGCAGCAGACCTCTCCTGCCTTGCCCACTGCTCCCCTTCACAGTGTATTTCTGCGCCACACTCTGTCTCTGATGGGATCTTCAAGGATTGTCACAGCCCCGTACCTCTGGCCTGGCACCCCAGTTCTTCCATTCCCCCCCCAAAAAAATAACCAAACACGACTAAAGCAAGATTTAAAAGCAAATAGAAGCAGAAGAAAAAGAGAACAAAACACCTAGGATACACTCTCCCCTGTAGCATCTGGCTCTGTGTGCTCATGAATCAGAGAGACCAAGTAGAGCTCAAAGCAGCACCCCAGGGCAGGTAAAGAATACCAAGCAATAAAACCATGTTCTAATTTTCTGTGAGCTAAAGCAAAGGTAGAAACATAATAAAGTACATCAGATTCTGTGCCTGTTCCCCTGAAAAGACAAGTATTTCCCCTGCATATAGCTGCAGTAATGCACGCATGGCTTCAGGTGGAGGGAAGGAGGCTGTGTACATGCACATACACACAGTGTGTGTGTATTTTCTTCAAACAAACTTCAAAAGTCATTTTGGAAGCAACTCTCTAGACAATGACTATTAAATTTCAAAGAATGCTTCAGTATTAGGCAGCAAAAAGGATTTGATGTTTCTGATCTCATCTAAATTGTTACCAGTATGTATTTAAGTCTTCCTTACTTAAACATTCCTTAAATTATACTTCCATTTCAATAAATCTGTTTACTAAGCACTAAAGAGAACTTCATGGGCTTTTTTCATAAAAATCGAGGTCCAGACACATACAAAGTGGTGAAAGCTAAAAAAGAGAGATTGGGAAACCAAAAATATTTGCCTTTCTGCTTCATGAAAGTGCAATTTACAACAAGAAACAGTAGCAAAGAATAAGCAGTGAATAGGAAACTATTCTTGAAAACATCTAAGTCTTTTGCCCTTTAGTTTCACATCACTAAAGTCTCAACACCAAGGCTCCCTCTACACAGCAACCAAAATAGGCAAAATCAAACCTTACAAAGAAATACTATCAGAACTCCCTGAATTACACAGATATACTGAAAATTATTATTACTGTTTAAACTGAGATTTAAAATAACTGGTCTGGCAGATGGGCAGGAGTATAAAGGACCAGGGGAGAAAATAATAATAATAATAATAATGAACAACTATATACCAGAGACATTTTACAGGGATGGAGTGGGGAATGGGATCAAAAATAGAGGGGGGGTAGTGCACTGGACTACGGTGATGGCACATGGGCGAACTGGGGGTGGAAAGCCCATGGGGATTACAACTCAGTGGAAAAAGGCACAAAATGATGTAAAAATAGACTATTATTAAATAAATAAATAACTGACCTGGGCCTCCCCAATGGCACAGGGGTTAAAATTTCAGCACTATCAAGCTATTGCCAGCCACTGCAGCATGAGTTCAATCCCCACCAAGGGAGCCAATCCACATGGTGCAGCAGACCTCTCCTGTTTCACCTGCTGCTCCCCTCAGCAGTGTATGTTCTGTCAATCTGCCTGTTCTGCTCCCCACTATCTCTGGTGAATCCTCTCCACACCTCTGGCCTATACTCCAGTTCTTGTATGCATAAATAAATCTTCAAAAAAATATTCTACTCTTAGTATTTTTTTCTGCTAGGTCTTCCCTTCCTATATGTTGTATAGATTTAAGGAATTCATAAGATAAATCTGCCAATAATAGCAACTCTTTATCCTCCTGTCCAGTTCATCACTAAATTGATGGCTTAGGGTGAAAATACAAAACCTAGGCAGCAAACCAACATGCCCAGTAACAGCATTACAAAATTAAATACCATAGCATGGCCTCACAAAGTTGAATAAACCTCCTTTAATTAAATATGCTAAAAACCTGTTTACACAGATGCACCATCAAAATAAAGGTGACTGACTACGTCTCTACTCCACTGCTTTTAGCACATGATGTGGTCCAGTTACCTCATTTTCTTAGCCTCAGTTTCTTACTCTGAGACAAAGCAAAAATATACTGTGATGCTTACAGAGAATTAAATAGTTACATATAAGACTCAGCATAGCAACTGGTATACAGTATGTGCTCAAAAAACTTTAGCACCTTGAAATACAAATCTGCCCATCACCTCTATTTGTTATAATCTTTTAAAGATCCCTCATAGTGTTTAAGATAAAATTCAAATCTTGAGAGGACTATCTTTAAGATTTAATTCCTCTTTCTCCCCTCTTTCCTGAAATTAGAAGTGCACTCTTCTTTGAGCTTCTAAATGCTCAAATTTACTAACACCTTACCCCTGTAAGAATACAACTTCTTTAGGCACAAGTTTACATTCATTTTCTTCCTCTTTAAATAATACCTAGCAAAGGATAAGCAATAAGGGCAAAAAATAAGCTTTTAAAGAATACCAAACTGGGGTACAAGCAGAGGTGCAGGGGCAGTGAGAGGATTCCCCAGAGACAGAGTGGGGAGTAGAACATGCCGATTGATGAAATACACTGCTGACGGAAGCAGCAGTGAGACAGGAGAGGGCTGCTGTGCCATATGGATCACTCCGGGGCGGGGATCCAACTCACACTGAATGGGCTGCAGCTAGCTTGCAGTGCTGCATCCAAACCCACTGGCCACCAGGGAGGGCCCAATAAGTATGTTTTTAATTGAAAGCAATTACTTACTTTATTGTAGGAATAATATTTGGCTGGGGCTTTAATAACCGTAAACGATACCACATACATCTTCCATATACTTTTCTGATATTCTTTAATCGAATTTGCTCTGTCAGAAAAAATAAAAAGATTAATATATCATTTTTTATAGTGAAGACAAAACCATAATTAATACCATAATTACCATGTCTACTTTTTTTTTTCTTTTTTAGGTCACAAGACAGTTTACATTTTCCACTACTTGAAACAATCTGCTGGAAAACTATTTAACTACCAGGCAACCAGTTTTTACATGAGACCTAAATAATTTATAACTGAAAAACATGAAAACTGACTCAAAAGTATTTAGTTCACATTATCATTAACTTCTAGAAATTTTCTCCAGTTTTTCGCTATAGGAGTAAAAGTTTAAAACAAGCAATTTACTAAGAAAGCTAAGTAAAAATGATAGTCTTTAAAGAAGAAAATTGTTGATTAGAAAAGTAACCGAAGCCCATAAGATAGGTTTGAGTGTTACTGCAAAATGTATTATTTCAGTCCCTATAATCTGCAATTAAATTAAAAAGGAATTTAAACAAAATTAAAAATTAGATTGTTTTATTAAACTCATCACAAATACTTGGTTTGAGTAATTCGTCCAACTTAAAAAATGTTTTCAAACATTTGCTCAGAAACAGAATGCAAGGAAAGAAGCCCTGCTTCTCCCAAAGCCAAAGCAAAGGCTTTGAAGGCTAGGAAGACAGTGCTATAAGACTCCACGGTCACAAAAGACAATCCACATGTCACCCACTTTTTGGTGGTTCCAAAAGCAGCCCAAATATCCTTAGAAAAGTGACAGCTTGACCACTATAGTGTCAAGCTCCCCTGAGGACTGAGTCAGCTATGAAGAAGATAGAAGACAAAACACATTTGTACTAGTCATGGACATCAAGGCCAACAAGCACCAGATCAAACAGACCATTGAAAAGCTCTATGATACTGACATGGCCAAGGTCAAGACTCTCATCAGACATGTTAGAGAGAAGCCAAGTTTGACTGGCTACTAATATGTTTTGCATGTTGCCGACAAAATCTGAGATCATCTAAACTGAGTCCAGCTGGCTAATAAAGATAAATATTTTTCATCTTATTAAAAATCTACTAAACCTTACTCATTGAATTTCAGATAAGTAAAAGAACTTTGCATATAATACAATGATCCAAAGTCACCATGCAAGACAAATAATTACCCTATTACCACTACATTTTGAGGAAAACATCCACATAGGGAGAGCTATGCAGCAGAAGGAAGAGGGTACATGCAGAAACAGTGGTTGTGGCTATTACCAGAGAAGACTGGTAACCGTCCATGCTGAAGGGGCTGGCTAAGTGCATTAATATGTTAACTGGAATTAGTTTTTCACTGTCAAAGAAGGCAGTCACATAAATGAAAGAAAACAAGAATGAACTCTTTTGGATTTATTCACAGTACTGCTATGAACTAATATATTTTGATATAGAAAAGTAGATCTATTGACATTACGGAAGCCAATAACATGGAGTGTTTTGACTTTCACATTTTATGGTTTCAGGTCTTTACGTCTAACTCTTTAACCCATTTTGGACTAATGTTTGTGTATGGTATGAGAATGGTTTAGATTCATTTTACTGCATCTGTCCAGTTTTGTCAACATCACTTGTTTCTCTACTATGTATTCTTGCTCCTTTCTCACAGATTGACTCTTCATATAAACATGGGTTTGTGTCTGGGCTCTTAATTCTGTTCCACTGGCCTGTGCATCTATTTTTATTCCAACACCATATTGTTTTGATTGCTACAGCCTTATATTATAGTTTGAACTCTAAGAACATGATCCTTCCATCCTCTAATTTTTTTTTGGTGGTGTTGTTGCTTTTTCCCTGCTAGGGCTGCTTTGGCTATTTGAGGTCTTTTGCAATTCAGTACAGATTTCAGTCTCGTTTGCTCTATTTCTTTTAAGAGTTCCAATGAAATCTTAATAGAGAAAGAATAGTTTTACACTGGGAAATGCAGAAGATACTTAACATTCTAACACCAAAATCAATAAACATAATATCTTAAGTGGCAAAAGGGATTTTGCAGATGTGACTAAATTAAGACTCCTGAGATGGAGAGATTATTTTACACTATTAGGGTGAGGCTAATATAATAATAGGGTTCTTTATAAAGGAGCAGTAGGGTCAAAGAAAGAGAAGATAATGTCCCAATGGAATTAAAAGATGGAATAAAGTACTTTAAAGATAGAAGGGCAACAAGCCAAGGAATACAGGCTGAAAAAGGCCAGGAAACAGATTCTAAGATAAAATCTCCAAAGAACTGCCAAACTATGACTAGAGTAATAAAATTGGTGTTTGCTTCTGACCTCCAAAACTATAAGAGAATAAATTTAATGTTTTAAGTCACTAAGTTTATGGTAATTTCTTGTGGTAACAATAGGAAGCAAATACAGTAAATATCACCAGCATTGGAACAAACTGCAATCAAATACCATCTGGCAGAATACAATGAGAACACAATCAGTTTTGTTAAATTCCTGCCTAAGATACATAAACTGAATCTGATCATGAGAAAACATCAGACAACCCAAATTAAGTTTCTACAAAATAACTGGCCAGTAATCTTTTAAGTCAAGTGAAGCCCAAGGAACTCTTCCAGGTGAAAGACACTAAAGAAGTATGTCTACTACGTGTGATGTGATTCTAAAGTGGATATTTACTATAAAGGACATCATTCAGAAAAATAAGAAACATGAATGGAGTCTGAGAATGACCCAATGTTAATTGTTTTACTTTCATAGTTAAAGAATGGACACTTTTGAAAATACCAATGGCTATGTATTTTTAATCTGTTTTTCATTAACATATTCTTCCACAGTCTCACATATTCAAGTAAAAGGACATTTTAAAGCTATGGATATATTTAATAAACTTATAAGAACAATGCTGAAGCCTATTTATTAACCAGTTCAAATGATCTATTCAAAGAAATAACATTTTCTTAATGTCTCTGGACAGGAAGAAGTGCACATGGTTTTTCAGCTCCCAGTCTTCCATAATGTATATCATATACCTCACTGTTCTAATCTAAAATTTAAAATCCTATTTGTCCAGGAAAATATCTAAATTAATAGTAAATACTGTAGTTTTTGTTTTATATGCTGAACTTAATAAAAGCATTTAGAGTTCCAGCACAACTATTTACCCAAATCTCT